CGCTTCTTAATGGGCCGAAATGGTAATCCAACGGCAGTTGTCAATTGTGTTGAGACAGGTGAATCGATAGGACAAAGCATACGGGCAGGAAACGTCAATTAGAAGGCCATCCGGGCCACATGTTAGTTCAAATTTAACTCAGAGAATAGATTGTTCATTTGAACACATAGGAAAACTCTGCAAATTAAGATAGAGTGTTCTGGAAAGCACAGCATGGATTTAATGACTGTTCTTTTACAGCTTTCTTGGTCGTTAAACCTTCTGCCAGCTCTGGAAATGCGATAGACAAGCTGGTAGTGTTTTAGAAGCATCTTAAAGTTGCAATCCTGACTACAACTAGCACTTAAAGAGCCCATATCCTATATTTTATCCTGTATTTCAACTTATATTGTTTGTGTGCTTTATGTAACAAAAACAGTCATAATTCATTTTTACATCACCTATTTTACCATTGCTCATCTTTTGTTATCCCTTAGAATTAAACAGACTGTTTTTTTTACTGTGCCTTTAAGACGGGCGCTTATGTAAATGATCTCTGTTCTGATTAGCTGCCCTGTATTGTGCCTCGTTCAAAAAGCAGACCAGGCTTAAACACTCTTTATAACTTCAGTGAGTGGGTGGGGCTTAACTGCTGTAGACTGAAAAGGGGGATCTGTAAATGTGCTGTTTTTTGTGACATCACAGAAACAATAAATTCAAAACAGGCTGTTGTTGCAGCTTAGTTTCCATAAAAAGACTGGATAGACTGGAGAAGGAATGGTATGTTTTTAAACTTTAGCAATGTTTATATATTATAACAAATTCTGTTATTTAAAAAAAGTGTTTTTCCATGATATGGGCCCTTTAATATGTTGTGTAATATGTTTAATATGAACTATTCTGCCTATTATGAAGCTATGCATCCCTCCCACCCCCACAGAAAATTGGAATCCTTTGTCCCGCTCCCACCCGCGCAGTTCCGTCACGGCGAACTGACATCCAATATCTGACATAGTTTATTCACAAATACATTATTCTCTGCTGAACTAACACGGCAGCCATAGTCATCAGGCTCACTGTGAAGGAACTTCACCAAACGCCATTTATTCCCTGAAAACACAAAGCAGGAATTAAACCACAGAACGGTTATTTTTGGTGTTTTGCTGTGTGTTGTTCATGTCATTGGTTGTTTTGCATCTCTTTGGAATGACTTCATTCATTTAATTGCTTTACTGTTATCATTTTGTATTGTTCATATATATGATTTAGTGATTGTTCTACTTTATTTAGGCTGTTCATTAATTTGTGGGATTATTCTTCATGCGTGCTAAGGCCCAGTCCGGCCTGCAGTGGGCTGGATTCCCGCCCACTCCCACGCACAACACAAATTAACCCTCGTCGCAATATTGCGCCGGGTCCACGAGTCCAGTGAAAATCTGTGGAGGTGTAGACCTCTACAGCCCACCCTTATGGATCTGCTGCCAAAGGGTTTGTAGTTTTTCAAAAGTTCCTACCACCTTCAAGATACATCATCAGAAGGGAATGTTAGTCTTTAAACGGGAAAATCGTGCTCTTGAGACTACTGCAGCACTTGCATGATCATTTTTCATTTTGGTCTCTTTAAATGCATTGCCACTTTAAAGCATTCCAACTCACATATTCCACAATATAAAGATGATGTAGGATTTGGTCACACCTGTTACCTCTTGGAAGTTCGTGGGTTTTAAAAGTTGTTTGCAAAACCAGCTCCATTTCCATTAAATTCTCCCTGAAAGTGATGCTTCATTGCAAAAACAAAAGACTAAAAAAGACTAAGGAAGAGGCTCCACAACATGCAAATCAACTAGAACAACATCTTGGTAAACAGTGAGCATTACACCGTAGATGAACTGCATTTAAAGACTTCTTTGATGATATATGATATATGTTCAAGTAAAACAGGATATTCGGGTGGGAAATAATCGTGGGTGGGACGTGATGTTGGAAGCTTTTTTTTACATGTATTTTTTACTTAGATGAGGCGAGGCGCTGGTTGGCAGGCCTTCTAGTATCCGCGTTGCTACTGCTTTTCTTATGCTTACAAAAGAAAGAAAAAAAAGTCAGGTTACTGTTAAAATAAACCCGTGTACGAGTGTAACCTCCATACACATGCAAGCAGGAGATGGACTGTGTGTGTGTGTGTTTGCATCTGTGAATGTTGTTCCATTATCAGCTGACCCTCTTCCAGCTTCACAGAGCAGCAGAAAACTCTAGAAACTGGCATAAATACTGCCAGATATTTGAACTAGCTCGCTCCTGTTAACATGCTCATGGGTTTTGAGTGTAGACGAGCTGAAATAACTCACAGTAGATTATTCTACAACTGATCTAAAAACTAAACGTGGGCGAGTAAAGCAACGAGAAGAAAGACAGTCGTCTGCAGACGTATATGTACATGCAGTCAGGAGCTGTCGGGAAGTGGTGACAGTGTTTGGTCAGGGTGGTGGGAGGGGGAGGGAAAACATGTTCAAGTGTTTATGGGTAAGTATCATATCTTCCCGGCCGCTGGAACACAGCAGGAGGCGTTTGGAGGCAGCTAAAGTCAATCAAAGATTTGGGGAAACAAGAATTTTGTCTTTTGAAAGTGTGACAGTGGAGAGGCGGTGTGACAGGGACAGCTGAGGCTAATCGGGGGGGACGGACACTTTTAAGACTGGCTCTCTCCAGCATGGCGAGAGAGAAAGAGTTCCATGGCTGGAGAGAGAGCTTTGTGTACAGAGACTCAGACTGAGAGGACACTAAAAAAAAGGTGAATGAGTTTAATTTGATTAGGTTTGTGATGACTAATGTGTAAATAAAGAGCTTCGTGTTGCACCCACACTGGTTTGTCTCTGGGCCAGCGTGAGCTCTCAGCCGGAGTGGCTCAGCCCCTCCCCAGGCCGCCACCACAGGTGATATGGATTGTGCTTAATGTGACCAAGGAAAAGGTAAAGAAGGTCCATTTCAGGTTGACTTTAAACATGGAATTCGGCATGAATGTGCTAACATTACTTTGGACAGATTATTTCTTGGATAATGTTTAATTTCAGTATTTTGTTGAATGGCAAACAATTTCAACCCCTTAAAATCCCAGGCTTATTATACACTAAAGCAATAGGCTGTGAGAGGCCTTGCGTCGTGCCTAAGAACACCCTTCCCTGTGATAAACACTAACACACAGCCTCAAGTGACTTATTGCTTTTTATAAAATTGGCTGAATCTATCACAGATCTTATCTAGTCCTTTACTAGACATTATAGGACAGTCTTGCTGTTTTTCAACCCCAAACATGTTCAAATAGTTTTTTTCCTTCACAGCCATATTTTTGTTTCTCGCTTGAACATAATTCAGAGGTATTTTTGGTCAGGCCTCCAACCCACTGCATTGACTGAGGTGAGGAGATAGGAGTGTGAGTTCTTTTTATTGAGGTCCAGGTTCACAGAGTCAATGAAGGAGCAAATGAATAGGACTAGGAGCAAAACAGAAAACATGAAAAACCAAAAGAATATGAAAGGAAGCCAAACGAGGCAAGTGGGGCTGAACTGTTTCACAGAACTCTAAGCGAAACACAAAGAGAGGTAAAATAAATAAAACACAATAACAAACTACAGGAGGAAAAAACAAGCGCAGTAATAATCACATTAACATAAACACTCACAAAGCCAAACCAGGAAATGAAGAGGCATGTAGACACTGAACACACACAAGAAACACCTGGGACCAATTAAGACAGGGCAGAGTTACAAACAAAACACAGATGGCATGATTGACAAGGGGGCGGAGTAACTGAAACCAGGAGGGGAATAGTGGTGAACTGATCTGGGAAAACTGTGCCACCATGATAAATCTCCATTTCCAAAATGGGTAACTCGATACATTTTACTGATTTACTACATTTGGACTTTATATTGTTTTTACACACATCTATGTACATGACATGATCAAGCTGGTCGACTAGCATGACCACCATGAACAAGTTGGCCGCTCAGCATGATCAGCATGACCAAGCCAGTCAAACAGAATGACCAGCATGGCCAAGTTGGTTGACCAGCATGACCAAACTGGTTGACCAGCATGACCATAGCAGTTGACCAGTATGACCAACTTGGTCAACCAGTATAACCAGCATGACCAAGCTAGTTGACCAGCATGACCACATTGGTTGACCAGCATGACCCATATGACCAAGTTGGTCGACCAGTATGACCAGCATGACCATGTTAGTTGACCAGCATGATCAAGTTGGTTGACCAGCATGACCAGTATGACCACATTGGTGGACCAGAATGACCAGCATGACCAAGTTAGTTGACCAGCATGACCAAGCTAGTTGATCAGCATGACCACGTTGGTTGACCAGCATGACCAGTATGACCAAATTGGTTGATCAGCATGACTAGTATGACCAAGTTGGTCAATGAGAATGACCAGCATGACCCAAGCTGGTTGATCAACATGACCAGCACGACAAAGCTTGTTGACCAGCATGACCAGCATGACCAAGCTGGTTGAACAGCATGACCAGCTTGAACAAGTTGGTCGACCAGCATGATTAGCAAGACCAAGCTGGTTGACCAGCATGACCAAGATGGCGGACCAGCATCACCAGCATAACCAAGATGGCGGACCAGCGTGAAATGAAACATACACTATGCTGGTCAAAGTTGATCTACCAACTGAACCAGTATGTTTACGCATGTTTCCGTGTAGTCCAGCTGTATGTCCAGCTTGTCAACCACCTTGACCATCACAGACCAGCTTAGACCATCTGAAACCAGCTACAGCAGTAAAGCTGGATTTTTCAGCAGGGATGTTGGACACAGCTCTCAAATTAGCGTGTCCGTTTGGCACCTTTCTACTGGAAACACTTCAACACAGCTTACAGTAAATTCCAGCTTTTGAAATGGGCGTTTTTGAGGGTTTAAGCTTGTGCATTTCATACAGACTGTAAGCTCTGCAGAAGCTGCAGAGGATCCACACATTTCTCAGCTCTAGAGCAACTGGCGAGGTTGTGCCTCAGCCAACTATGGATGGTGGGAAGAGGTCTGCGCTGGGAGTCTGTTGGTCAGTGCTGGGCGAATCCACCCTTTAAGGGAAGAGAGAGCTTTGAGAGCTGAGAGCCTCATACGGACATCGGGGGAAGGGCTGTTGGGAGGTGACTGCTCGATGTGAGGAAAGCACCTCCTACCTGCGCTTTTTGGATTTGGGATTGGGCTGATAAAGCCCCCTGCCTCAGACGTCTCCCCTCACTGTGCGGAGCGCACGCTACTTCAGACGCCACCGCAGCGCAGCGGACGCGGCAGAGGAGCGCCGGAGGAGTGAAGGGTAAGACTGAGGAGGATTTGCATGCAGGGAGGATGAGGAGTTCTCACGTCGCTGTTGTGCTGCATGAAGGCGGCGGCGTGTCTGACTGAGAGGGAAAGCGTCTGTACTGCGCCGCGTTCTGTGGCGCGTAAAGCGGCTGACCGTGCAGAGACTCCGGCTTCTTTCGCGTGCTCGCTTAAAATAAAGGGTCCTAACGGTTCTTGGCTCGGACGCTCGGTTCTAGGAGAAAGCCTTCATTCGAACCTTTACATTACGTGGAAGTTTTACAAGGTCTCGTTTACAAACAACCCCCATCCACTGTTTTCTTCCACTGCGTCGCTCCACAGAAGCCCCTTTTGGCACCTTCGTGTTTCAGAGCGCCAGTTTGTGCTGAGAGTCGCTGTGGCTTCATGTAGAACTGGCGACACGTGGAGAAACCTGACAGTCAGTGTGAATGTCCAGACTATGGAAGTCCATTCCTGCAGGTAGAGGAGAAAAAATCACCTTCTCTCTTTCTGGCTGCAGAATGTCAAATTTTTGACTTAGTATCTCTAAATAAAGGCTTACTATGTCGAAATAATGACTTATTCTCCCAAAATATTGACGTACAATGTTGATAATAAGTCAATGACGACTTGTTTACAAAAGAAATATTTAATACAGAAAATAAATAAAGACTTAGTATCTTGAAATAATGACTTACCATGTCAAAATAATGACTTAATGTCTCCATATAGTAATATACTATGACAAAACACTGACTTAGTATGTCGAAATAATTACCCGTTTTCTTTATATTTTGACTTGTCATGTCAAAATAATGACTTACTATGCAAAAATCATTACTTACGTTTGTTGTATGTGTTTCATCCTAATAACTCAAAAGTTTAAAAAAGATTGTCATATTTTGAGCCACTGAGTCATTATTTTAAGACAGTAAGTCATTATTTAAACATACTAAGTCAAAACATAAAGAAACTGTGATTATTTTGAGACACTAAGTCAAAAAAATAAGGAAATAAGTCATTTAGAGATACTAAGTCACCATTCTGAGAAAATAAGTCATTATTTCAAAATACTAAGTCAATATTTTGAGAAAATAAGCCATTATTTTGGGATACCTTGTCAAAATTTCAAGAAAATAAGTCATTATTTAGACATACTAAATCAAAACAACATGACATTGATTTAGAGATGCTAAGTCCACAATTTGAGAAAATAAAGTTATTATTTTTATATACTAAGTTAAAATTTTGAGAAAATAAGTAATAATCAATAATTAAGAGATACTAGTCAATATTTTTAGACAACAAGTCATTCTTTTGATAGTAACTAATTACTTTGAGAAAATAAGTCATTATTTTGAGATATTCAATATTTTCAGAAAACAAGCAATTATTTTGACAATAAATAATTATTTTAAGAAAATTAGTGATTATTTTGAGGTACTAAGTCATTTTGACTTACTGCTGCCAGAAAAGTGGACCGCCATGTCTGGCATTTCTTTTTTGTGTGATATTAACAAATCATCATCATCAACCAGAATAACTATAACCATCAGATTCCGTTTTTCCTGACACTGCCTTTCCAAAAGACTACAAATTACCCACAAACCCCACTGCACACAGCCTGGACTTTTCTGTGATTGATGACGGTTCGTTTGTCTGTTCGTATCTTCCATTAACATTTTATTGCAGTCTCTGTTATGAAACTCAGACGGGAAGAATGTTTCCCAATAATGCAGCTGGTGGAAGATTGCACATTAGTTTGCATATATTTTCTTGTTAATATGCAAATGCATGCATGCTGGGCTTGTGCACATCCCCATGCAGCCTTCCGTTCCATCACTACGGTATTTTGTTGAACGCGTAGCTTTTAAAAATGAAATATGAAGTAGCCTAAACTACTGTCCGAGCGTCAGCTTGGGGTGCCACATATAGATTCCACCACACTCATTAAAACTGCCAGTTTTCACTACTGAAAAAGATGCTATGCTTTTTTTTCCTCCACCAAGAACCATTTTTCTTGCATCATAGGCCACATCCCCGACAACACGAGTTTATCAAAGTGAGAGAGATGACTTTGAGGCGAGAGCGATGCAGCGCAGCGAAGGCTTTGATTCACATTCGGCGCCTTCACACATCCTACTGGAGAAAGTGCGAGAGACACTTTCTGACAGGAGCATTATTTCACACAGCATCTCTGCTCATTATCGACAGCCAAGCCGAGCCGAATTGCACGTTACGCAACAGCACACTAAACGGATACCAAACGTCTGTGCGTCCTTCAGCAATTAACTGTCTGTGGATGTTCCACAGCCTTCTTGATGAGGCCTGAGGAGGCCAAAGTCTTTGGATTAGGGCTGCATCAGATGGACAAAATGCTGGACTACAATTAAAGGTGCGGTGAGGAATATTTAGGGGGTCTTTTAGCAGAAATGGAAATTACTATACAACAAGGTCTCTCAGGCCTCGTCCTGGAGGCCCACTGCCTTGCACATTTTAATGCTTTTCCTGCTTTAACACTCCCACTTTAACTCAACAATGTGCTGTTAATGAGCTGATTGGTTGGGTCAGGTGTGTTGGGAGCAGGGAAAACACTAAAAAGTGCAGAGCAGTGGGCCTCCAGGACCAGGGCGGAGAAACACTGGCATACAAAATCATGTTTTTATTATTGTATAGTCACTGTAACTATGAGTCATTGTGTTTTCGTTAGCTTAAAATGAGCCCTGCATATTTATATAAGGACGAGGCCACCATGTTGCGCTGCCATGTTTCAGTAGCTCAGAATGGAGAAACCAAGCACTGGCTCTAGAGAGTGCCTTTTGCAGTTTTACATTTGGTGCACCGGTTGGAAGACATAGAAAGAAGAAGAATCAGTGGTTGCTGCCAATGCTGGCTTACCATAATGTGTTGGGAGAATTTTGAGAACCCACATTTTGACAAATGGTGGATCGTACTTATTATTTAGCACAACAAAAAAACAAGTGATGGTGAATCCCTGTCATAAAAGAAGCAAAAACATGACAGCCACCGTAGGTTCTACTACACGCTTGGAAAGGGAGGGGTGAGGGAGGGGTAAATCTCAAATATAGCCATTTTATTTACAATCCAAAACCACCACTGTATGTGCTTCTCCACTATGAATGTTTTTAAATATACATTTATAACACTTCAGATGTCTGGTTCCCATCACCACCACTGTGAACTTGGCTTCTTTAGAACAGCGTGTGGTTCAAATCAAAACAATCTGAATCACTTTGTTTACATTTTAACCATTTTTTTTTATACACAAATTCTGAAAAATCACTGCCCTTCTAAATTGCTTTATAATGGCCCGTATTCATCAAATTTAAATACGGTCAAATTTGAGTGTTTCATTATTCATCAGTTTCAATCTGTATGATCAAACTTAATGGCTCATGTGCTGAATGCTTTCCTTTTATTGGCCCTCAACTACATTAGGCATTCTTTATGTACATGAGGGCAAATTGGGACGTGCCATTTGCAAATGATGTATAAATAAGGAACTAGTGAGCAGACAAATGCATTAAAATTGCTGATCATATTAATGTTCTGTGATTCATGAATCAGACATGGACAAAGTTGGACGAATAATGGTCACTGAAATAGGGATGGGCAATATGGCAGATGTATATCACAATACTTCATTTGGACATTTTAATGATAGTCAATTTTCACAATATTTCATTTTTCTGAGGTTTGGTAAGTTGGAACAGACAAAAAGAAGCACATAAAAAAATACAACCAAAAAATATGAGTACAGTCATTTTTATTCAGTGTTTCACATACAGCACGGCACTAAATCTAATTAAACAGAACTAATTATGCTCTTTGGTACTGAAACATGCAGTTGTTCACTGTTTATTAAGTACAATATCGTCATTATGCTCAGAAAAGAGTGTTATGACATTATGTGACTTCATTTATCATGATAATGATAAAGATTGTCGTATTGCCCACCTCTAGATTGAAATTAAAAACTCTTTGGTGAGCGTTTGTAACACTGGCTTGCAATAACTTTTGAACGATATTTATTTATGTCAAAAAAAACCAAAACAAACTGGAATATTTGTGATTGGTCAGGATGGTCTAACGGTGTCCACTGGACAGTTTTGCTTATCCTAGTGTTCTGTTCCAGAAACACTGTATTATGTACTGTACAGAAATTACACTACCGTTCAAAAGTTTGGGGTCACTTGTCATATAAATCATTGTTGTTCAGTAATAACAGTAATAATAGTGTAGATTGAAACGCTATTAACTAGGCACCAAAACTTAAACCAATACTTTATTTACAGTTCACAGCATTTTGGGAACAAATAAAGTTAGAACACGGTCAAAAAATGGAAGTGTTATTAAATAATAAGCTATAATTTTCAGTTTATTGGAATTTGTTTTGAAAAAAAGCTATGAACAGCTGTTTAATTAGTAAGATTTGGTTGTCGTTTTTCAAATATGAGGCTTTGTGGATGTCATTTTCTTTAACCCCTTATAATTCCAGGTTTATTACATACTAAGGCTTACCGGTAACTACAGGGACTCCAATGTAAACTGGTTGAGCTGTTCTAAGGTTATAGAAGTGTGCAATAAAAATTTGGGTACCGGCGATTTAAGAGGTTAAAAGTTCATTCACGATGCTATATTGATGTCTTAATTACCATGAATCACTTACATCACCGATATCATCAAAAATATCTTTTTTTCATCGTAGAAAAAATTTATACATATATCTTCAAAGACATTGGTTTTATATGAACGAAATCAGTGAACCCAAACTTTTGAGCAGTAGTGGATGTTCTTAATACATTTGTGAGGACGATTTCACTGACCAAATGCTTAATTGACCAGTGAAGTCTACACTGAAAAACAGTAATGCAGTAAATTTGCTTCGTTCAAATTCATGCAAATGGATTGTGTAATCTAACAATTCAGTTACTCCCAACTGCAGCTACTTCCCCTTTGATACCAAACACTAATACATCTGAATCAGTGAATCAG